ATGGATTAAGCTAAAGCCTCATCATAATCTCCTCTCTCCTCTCTCTAGCCTCTAAATACTTAGGTATTTGTCAATTATGCAATACTTACTTTTTTTATTGTTAAAGATTTAAATTTAACACCGAAATCGTTAAAAAATTAATATTCTCAATGAATTCAAAAAAATTATAACATAAATAGATTCTAAGGGAAAATACAAAAGAAAAGGGTATTGTATACTTTACAGACTTCCAATTTTTTTAATTTTGTCACGACTACAAATTGCTAAATTGGAATGCTTACGGCGACATTGTATAAATAATAATTACCGTCAAATTAAAACCTTAAGCTATTTTTTTTGTTTTTCCCCGCAAAATGTATTGGTGTAATCCATATAGGTATGTATATTAAAACTAGCGTCTCACCCTCGCTTCGCTCGGGTTCGCCTCTAGAAAAACACAATCAGATCTATCCCACGGGAACCGTTCATTTTTCCGGGATAAAAAGTAACCAGTTGTTTAACCGGCAATATAAGGTATCAAGCATGCCAAATTTTAATAAATTAGGTGCATAAGTTGTTGTGTACTAATATATATATAGGTAGGTAGGTATATCGGTCTAATAGATTCGGAGATTAGCCCGTATAAACAGACAAACATCTGGATTTGTTCTATTTCTCTTCTTATACCCCCTGACTGGGTTTTTAGCATTTTTTTTATGTACAGACATTCGACTTCTACAGTTTTATTATATGCACCTATAGATGAACCTCTATTTCTCCTGGTCACTCGTCATCACTCGTTGGCACGCTTATTTGTTTTCTGCCTTTTGTCGCAAAAATCTTTAGGTTTTGTAATGATACTGTGCTAAATCCGGATTCATCCATATTCCGAATTTAAAAAATTGTAAAGGTAGGACAACTATCCGGCTTTTACCCTATTGGTTGGCAATTTTTAAAGTGTGGGACAAACTGAAACCGATTTTTTTAAATATTCCTATGGGCCAAGGTTGATTCTACAAATGTTATCCCATATTATAATAGAGTTAAAAATATTTCTTATTTATATTTAAAAAAAAACTATACTTAATGTAATTATAGTTTCTTGTTATTTATTTTTTATTTAAATCTCAGCTAGGCCAGTGAGTTGTGACCATCGAATTTCTTTTTCATTCATTCGTTTATTACTGATGCAATTTAATCTATTCTTACATGTTTAATTATAATATGTATATTTCAATATAATTTTGTACATCGGTGTGTGTATTCGGTAATCACTACATCTAAACTAGGTTGAGCCTGTATCTTAAATGTTACGAGTAGTTTCATCCAGAAATAGAATTAGTGACTAGTGTAAGTACATTTAATATACGAGTAAACAAAAATACTTAATATTATTCATACACACAAAATAAAATCATTACATTAGAAAAAAAAATATCAATTCAATTCTCATGTTCAATGGCTTCTAAGAATGCCGTTTGGGCACTATTTACTTAGCCAATGTCGCGTAGAATGGAGAAGACACGGTATTAAAGAATGACCGGTATAAAATAGGTAAATAAAAACACTAAATCTGATGACATGTAGTTAAACGGAGCAATTCGCAAAACATATCTCAAACGATTTATCTTCTAATTTTGCGGGTAGTAGGTACTAACCGTCAGTCGACAAAGTATTGTAACGCTCGTCACTCGATCAAGAAATAACTATTGAAACCAAGGACGTCGGCACTTTTAAACGTTAATTTATTTTATTTTATGTTTTATTAAATGACGTTTGAGTAATTTAGTTACCTATGGTTTTAATAAAGATCATTTTCTATTATTTCATTTAAGGTTTTATGTTTTACAAGAAACTAGCGAGATAAAAATTAAAAGTTTTTATTGAAAAGTTTAGTAGACTATGTTGAAGCCTCGCGCTCTGGCTGCCGATGTACCTTCAGGTATTGATTTAGAGGGATTCCGTTTCATTTTACTGCCATTTTGTTTTCTGGAGAAAATCTATGAAGTATTTTTTTAGCTACCGCTATTTGATATGCAAGTCTTTTCAAATCAGTTGTAGTCATTTTAACGGCTCGACGAATGTTAATGATTTTTTTGTATATTTGGTAGGTATGAGAATAGGTCGCAAAGTTTTTTTCACCCTCCTACCCGCACCCTCCATTTTTTAATTGCGATTTTTGTATAAACAATATTATTATACTAGCGGCTCACTCTCGCTTCGCTCGGGTTTGCCTCTAGAAAAACACTAATAGATATCTATTAGTTCCCACGGGAACCGTTCATTTTTCCGGGATGAAAAGTAACCTGTTGTTTGACCGGCAATATAAGTTATCAGAATGTTAAATTTTATTAAATTAGGTGCATAAGTTGTTGTGTACTAAGCTGTATAAGATACTATAGTTTTTTAACTATCCCACGGGAACTCTTCAATTTTCTGGGATGGAAAGTATCTAAGATGTTGACCGGGGATATAAGGTACCATCATGCAGAACTTCATTTAAATCGGTCCAACAGTTTCGGAGATTAGCCCGTACAAATAGACAAACAAACAGACAGAGAAATAAAAAAAATGAAAAAAATCTGGATTTGTTCTATTAGTTTTCTTACATCCCCCTGACTCGGTTTTAAGCTTTTTTTGCTATGTACAGAGATTGGGCTTCTACTGTTTTATTATAGTACTAGCATTGCCCGCGGCTCCGCCCGCGTTCAGATGACCAAAAACTAAATTCTTAGGTGTTACATATTAGTATACTCTTACATTGCAGTTTTTGTATTTTTCCTCAGAAATAAGATATTTTCCCGCGGTAAAAAGTATCCTAGGATCGCGCGCTACATCGCCCGGTTTATATAGCTTGAGCAGGCGGTCGAGCGATGCGGGGCAGAGGGGATGGACTCGCCGTAGGCATCTCAATGCTCGCCAAGCATTAAAAATGTTTCGCTACTAATTACTTCTAACAACGATATCTCAAAAACTATTCATCTGATTGATTTAGTGTAAAGAGCAATTTTAATCTGCATTAAATGACTAAGCTAACTAAAATATTCATTTGGATAAGGATTAATACCGAACTAAAGAAAATAACTTTGAAAATAACGTAATGTTTTTAATTAAAAATGTTAACATAAAAGTGGTTATTGTAAGTCAACCGTAAGAGATAGAGATATGCTATCGCGGACTTTTTTGTAGCATTTTTATAGATTTTGAATTCTCTAGTACATTACTTAACTGTATCTTTGCTAGTTTACGCGGCGTTCGCGTGGAAAGTTCCCATTTGGCGAGATTTTTTGCGACCTCTTCAACATTTGTCGCCGTATTTCAGCTAATTTACATAAAAGCATAATAAATTATATACCTAAACCTTCCTCAAGAATTACTCTTTCTATTGTTGAAAACCGTATAAAAATCCGTTCAGTAGTTTTCGAGTTTATCGCGTACAGACAGACAGGAGGACAGACAGGAGGACAGAAAGACGCGGCCGGGGGACTTATTTTTATAATAAGTATAGATAGATAAATGTGTACATAGCGACGAAGCCGAGCAAAGCTAGGGTAAGTCGCTGTATAACTATAAAGCTAAAGAGGTTCAAAGAAACCTGAGATTGAACCCGTGTGTAGCCGCGGGTATTATGGTTCATTCGCGTTAAGAAAATAGTGAGTCATCGTTGTCCATCGGCCTAACCACACCCCCCGACAAATTAGATTGCACAAAATTATAAAGTCAAGTTCACAATTACCACTTGAAGGCAGACTTTTGTAAGAAACAGTTTGTGTCATTTGTACGATATACAATACTTACAATAAATTTAAAAAATGAATAAATACCTCACCTTTCATCTCCATTTTCAACCCCATAAGGGATGATTTCCGAGATAAAAACTATCCTATGTCCTTCACAAGGTCTCAAACTACCAAACTTCATCTTACCAAATTTCATCTAAATCGGTTCAGTAGGTTCGGAGCCTATTCGGTGCAAACAAATCTTTCCTCTTTATAATATTAGTATAGATAAAAAACAAATTAAAAATAAGTGGAGAAAAAGAAGATGGTGGATGACAAGTAAATACCACGCATAACTCTTCTAAGTTCTAATCGGCGGGTCGCTCGCTAGTCGCTACTGAGAAACATGCGAGTGTGGATTCAATACAAGTTCTCGTCTGTTTTTGCGTTCTTAGCTCTTTATCTTGCGCCAAAAAACCGATAAAAATCAGAGAACAAGACGAGAACCTGCGAAGATTATGTGAAACGGTTCCACATTAACGTTTCTCGTGTTTTTCTCGTGTTATCGCGAGGTTCTCGTCTGAATATGGTCATGGAGCGCGCTTAAGAGGAAGTGGACTTACTGATTTCTTTATTTGTATGTTTTTAAGAATTAAAAAATAATTTTTATAAAAGCTTTACTAGAAACTTTAATATTTTAATTTGGACCTGTTTCTCAAAAAAGAAATTATTAGCCCATTTTTGTAACAGGTTAAACAACAAAAGCAGGCTAATAATTATTTCATAGACAATTTTAAATATCAGAAGTCTATGGTATGAAACCCGCTGGACTATTGGCTGTTATTTGCTTCCTTGTTTTGCTTTGCCAATATGGCGCCGCTGGTGTTATGAGATGACAACATCGCAGTTTGTGCCCTATTTGTCATTATTAATGTTAGAGTCAACATTAATTATCTACCTCACAAGTTCAAAGAAAGTCAGTAATTGTAATGTAAATTGTAATAGACGCTAACGTGACTTATCTGATGATTGTTATCATTTGAATACTTTTCTATGCGTCCGTGAGGAAAGTACATAGCTCCTGTAAAAATGGCGGGTGTGTTATCTTTATGGGTTGTGTTTTCATTGCTATTGGAGAAAGTTTAACGAGAGATATTTTAGTGTTAATACGTTTGAACAACTGAAACTAACGTGGAATACGTGTATTTGGACAACATGTGCAACTTGATTCTTTGACATTTCAAGACGTGATTGATTTATCAAGACGGCGCAGGTGTCACTGTATTTGATGAAATTATCAGCATGTCGCGCTGGGGCAGAGGCCGAAATGGCAGCGTGGCTGTACCGCTGGACAGTGCTTTATTTAGGGAAAATAGTAATTGCCCCTCGGCTGCTAGATCGGCAGGCACGGTGGGCAAGTGGGGAATTACGAGCTTCACTTCAATTCGAAGCGCTCCTTACGGTAAATATCATTCACCAATACATTCTTGTTTGGCCTTGACGTACAACATGTAAACATAGTTTTACATGTAAAGTGCTAGAATAGTTAATAATTAAAGTGAAAGTAATTTTGCAAGAACTAGTTAAAAGTAAGATACACAAATGTTACATTCATTCTAATTAGATTAATTTGCCATAAGTATGTTCTGGTGATACTAGATTACTTTGCTGTCATTCTTTTCTTATTTGCTTTAACTGTTTTTATTTCAGCATATCAAAGCAATGTTCTTAAGAAAACTGTTCAAGATCAAAACAGTCCCCTAACAGTGCCTGCAGTTGAAACAGAACAACCACCTCCAAAGCCCAAAAAGTTTTTTAAGTCTCGCAATGCAGAATTGTATCCACCAGTGCCACAGATAACTTATGCTCCTCCAGTACCTGCAGCACCTCTCTCCCCTGAACATCCTTCAACTAAAGAAAAGAAAAATACTAAGAGAAGTAGATATAATAGAGGAGATTCTTCATCACCAGAATTACCAAGACGTAATTCTGAGAAAGGCAAAACAAAAAAGAATTTGTCTACAAAAGCTTCTAAAAAAGAGGATGCTTTTGCAGAAAATTCACAGCCACCCAATAAACGCTATTTAGTTCGCAATCGAGATAAAGTTATAAATTATGCTGAAGATGGGAGTAACAGCCCAATACCTGAATTGACTCGATATGAATCATTACCTCCTAAGGTGCCTTCACCAAAGGCAAGTCCTTTGGTAACTACTCCTTCTCCAGTTAAGGTAGATGTAGTAAGCCCATCTACTAGCAAAGAAACTAGTGAAGAAAGAAAGCCCCCACCTATAGTCCTCAGAATATCTAAAGGAACTTCAAGAATAGTTAGCACAGATTCTAATGAAGGATTTACATCACCTAGCTCAGATAGACACTCATCTTTAGATACCCATTCAGACTTGGGATCTGATCACAAGCGCAGCCCTACAATGGAAAGTATATGCTCTCCTAAACATGAAGGCCTTAAAATTACTATTAAATGCTCAGGGCTGAATCAAGACATCAAAAAAGAAAAGAAAAAAGATAAGAAAGAACATAAATCACATAAGCGTCATCACAAAAACATTGAAGACGAAACCACAAAAAAAATAGTTTCACCTCAACCGGGTTCTGATACATATGATCTATATAAAACTCTAGCATCACCTGTTCATGAATCAGAAAAAGAAATAAATAAATTAAAGCAAATAGACTACATAGAATCCCAGCTAGCTCAACTGGACTCTACAAGTACCGTAGAGAAATCTCCCTCTTCAGAAAAACAAATCAAAGAACCTCAACCTGAACCTAAACCACCGGAAAAAACAGGAAGATCTAGAAGAAACAGGCCAAATATTAACTATAGTGAAAATGATGATGAATTAGTTCCTCTGGCAAAGGTATATTCAAGTAAACAAGTTATAAAAACTGTGAGTGACCTGAAAAAGGAAGCTAAAAAGAACAGAAGAAAACATGATCCTGTAAATGATGCTCCTTTAGCTACTGTATCATCACCTGATCACCAAGAAGGAAATGACAATGAGCCTGAATCTCACATAGAACAAAATGACCTAATTGATATATTATCTGGGAGCAATGACAAGACTGAGGGTGTGACACATAAAAAGGTTAAAAAACAAAAATATAAGCATAATAAACATTCAAGTCCAGATCCTGCATTAGATATTCAGGAGACATCTAGCCAAGAGGAACATAATGATGAGACAGAAATGGAAATATCTGAAGATCTACAAATGGCTGATTGTGCTCCAAATATTGAAGCAAATGAGGCTCAGATGCAAACTCAATCATCTGACTCTGCTTACAACAGTTGTCCTAATGAATTATCAGAAGAAGAATCACAAAAGTGTCATCAAGATGAAGTGTTTAAATCACCACATAATATAGACTCTGAGGAACATGTAGGAGATAAACCAAGTGTTAAACTAGTGATTACAAAGAAAAAAGGTTCTATATTTAAGAGTAAATCATTAGTGAATGATAATCCTTCACCATTGCCGGCTAGAAAGAGACGTCATCTTTACAAACATGAATGGGCAAATGATGTAAGTCTTTTAGTACTTTTTTGTTATTACTAATAAATTAACTTTTACCTTTATCATAAAACACTTATGGCCGATTTCACCAACGTCACGTAAGTTTAAGGGATCCCCTAAGCATGGTTAGGGGGCTATTAGAGGACAGATTCTGTTTCACCGACAGTTAGGGGTCACCTAAATGTTAAAATGCCACCTAAATATAGATACTAGAAAAACGAAATACTTATATAATTAATTTAGGGGCTAGTTTAGAGGAACCTTTAAGCTAGGGATCCCATAAATGTAGGTGGTAGCTTATGGGATGTTGGTAAATTGGGCATTAAACTAGTAATAATGGACCCCTAATAAGTAAGGGAATGTTATTTCTATATGAAATTTTTATAAACATGAAAATAAAATAAAATATCTAATAATTTATTGATGTTACTATCACAAGCCTATTTTATCTAAGCTGATATTACATATAATACATTATGAGGTAATTCTTTTCCTATAAAGTACTTATATTGTTTATTTACTTCCAACTTGAACTTTATAATTGTAACATAATATTACAGCATCAAGCATTATATTACAGCATTATAAAAGATAATGATTGCAATGTTTCTAACCAGCAGCTATTTACATTATAATAGCTGCAAGTAATCCATACTAATATTATGAATGTGAAAATGTGTTTGTTTGTCCTTCTTTCACGTCAAAACGGAGTGACGGATTGGTGTGATTTTTGGTGTGGAGATAGTTGTAGGGCTGGAGAGAGTGAGAGCTACTTTTTACCGCGAGAGATTATCTCATTCCCACGTGACAACACGTTATAATACAACCCAAAAAATAATTTATGATCATAATAACTTGAAAATTGGTATTATTGCTCCTCAATTAAGTACGTGTCTAAGCGTTTCTGAAAATTCATCCCATATGGGGGTAAAGTAGGCGATGAAAGTTTGTATAGAACCTACCTTTTTAGTTTGTTTTTGCAGTTTTAGCGCGAGCGAAGCCGCGGGTTCCGCTAGTATGTTATATGTGACTGCCATATTGATTTACAGATAGTCATTAATTTTGTTTATTTTATTTAAATTTATTGACAACATAAATTTAAATATGTATATAATACTATTATTTGATAATAACACCTGATTCAATTGAATGTGGTTTCCTGTAGAGGATAGTTATTATTTTTGTATTTAAGACATAATATCTATAAAAGTTGCTTATCAACAATATTATAATACTGCAACTATAACTTTAATGTGTTTTTTTTAATTGTAGAAAGGAAATGAAACACCAAGACCAGAGCAAGCTGAAACAACAGAAGTAAGAAATCCTGTTAACGAAGTGTCAGAGGAACTAACTCGAGTCACAAGGTACAGAGCCGCTGATCCCATAATGGATGACCCAACTTTGGATGAACCTGTTAAATCTTATACAAGTGTTAAATGTGCTAAAGAAGCAAAAGAGGTGAGTCGACAATAATAAATAATATTTAGGTATGTTTTAATTTTTTTGAGTGGCACCCTATTTCTTTTTCTAAAATAGCCTAAGTTACTCCTTATAACATCAGTTACATGCCAGTGCAAGTTCCCTCAAAATTACTCAAGCCGTTTCAGTGATTAACCGGAACAAACAGACAGGACAAATAGGCAAATATGTTAAAAATTGAGTTTTTCTTATATGTACCTTATATAAATTCATAATTATGCGTTTAGCAAACAACTATTATTTTGAAATTACGTTAAATTTTGTTTAATTTTATTTATCTGTTTAGATTAGTATGTATCAATTGACTTTATTTGCAAGGCTTAATGTATTGTTCTTTTTATGTATGACTTATTTGGCATATTTATAAATGTTGAGCAAATTTGTGAATTACTGATAAATATTCAAATACACTTAAATATATTTGTTTCAGTACTACACAGTTGTACGAAATGTTAAAAAAGCACATCAAATACAAGAGATTGGAGAGTTCCAAGAGTTTAATGATGATGTGGAATATCTTCTTGATGCATTGCAGGTCAGTGGAAATATAATAAATCCATGTATTTGTGCGTTTTTGGGAAATGGCACGCATTTATTCAATTTATATTGTAATAAGACTGTTAGTTTTTTGATTACGCCATAAAAATGTTACAAGTACACATATAAAACTGAGTGTGCTAATTATATTATATAAGTTTTAAATCTTAATACATAAGATATACGTTAGAAATAATATCCATTTTTACTGTAATACATTTTAGTTCTGGTAAATATTGATAGTAACATTATCATTATTTTTTACTCAACTGCCTCGGTGGTCTAGTCCCTTGTCGGGCCAAGTTTAGTTACTGGGTTTTTCTGTTGAGTTTTTGTTTGAGAGCAAAAGGAATAGAGAGTGCACGTTGTGTATGCGTGTACACGCGCTGCACTATAACATCTCCTGCGCAGTCTCAGTGAGATTGGCAGCCGTGCCCGAAATCATTCGGGAGGACAATAATAATAATAAAGTAATACCTACTTTTGAAAGAAAGAAGAGAAGATAAATATCTTTTAAAAATAATAATGATTTTTTCCTTACATCATTATACACCTATTAAAAAAAACAAAAGTATCCGTTGTTTCAATACAAATAAATGTAAGCAGTATGTGTATTGAACACTTGTAGCATTAGATCTGATAGTACATATATCATCAAACATAATATAGTAGTAAATGACAGTATCATACCAAACAGTACCAGAATATCAATCTAGTATCTTTTTATCTACACTACAATAAAATTGTAATAATCTTGTCTGATTAGTAAAGATATTGACGCTATATGGTATTTAGGTGTCTGTCTAACTTTGAATCGTGGATATTTATAATTTGCTATCTTTATTTAATTTGTGCATCATGTAAAATCTCGGAGACTTATTTATAAAAAAAACCAGGCTTATATTAGACTTATCTACTGACACATGTTACATCTCACTACAATGATTGGACTCATGACAATAAAACCAAAATAGTAAAGGCTATTCTCTTCTAATTGTTATTTATAATTTTATATCAAAAGGAATGTACTATATTGTAAATTTATTGTGATATAAGTACAAGTTTCAGTTATTACTTAATTTATAAGTTGGCATGAGTTTTGAACCTGTTTGATGCGATTATGAGGTGTGAACGAATGGTTTGTCAGTCGACGCTTGTCGTCTCGTCTATTAGAGGCTCGTGTATTGCCGAAAAGTATATCTGCTGTTGATTTGTGCTTACAAAATGTGCCGGTTAGTATACTTCTATCAGTTCAAACTACTTATATGATACTGGATAAACGCTCTATCAGCGTTTGCGTTAATATATTACGAGCCTCGTATAGTACGAGTTGCAGTTGGTCTTGTGTCTGATATTTCACTTTAAATGTCGGGTTACCAGTCCACAGTACTTTGAAAGTGAAAGGAATAAAGAGTGCTGGGACACTTGTGCACTATAATATCTCCTGCGTAGTCTAAGATTAGTGAGTTTTCAAACTGAAGTTTTATTATTATTATCATAAGCCTGTGGTGCCCCACTGCTGGGCAATGGCCTCCCTACTCTTCTTTCACTGCTCCTTTCGGCTATAATAGACCAGTCTCCAGTCCACTCATCGCGCCATCTCCGTCTGGGCCTACCACGTTGTCGTCTGATGTGTTGGGGGATCCAAGAAACTGTTTTTTTGACCCAAAGATCATCTGGCATCCGGATGACGTGACAAGCCCAGTCTTATTTGTATTATATTTATATTTTTATATCGTGTCTGTCGTTAGGACAACAACCCGATGTCGACGCGGTGCTTGTCCGCCATCACGTTGGCGAGCAAGTGCACGGCGCCCGCCTTCCGCATGCACCTGCGCGCGCACGGCACTGTGCAGAAGTTCTTCATGGCGTTGCACGATGCTACCAATGATCAGGTAAACCCTTGTGGCTTGTATATTTACACTAATATTATAAAGAGGTTAAGTTCTTAAGTTTGGATATGTATAATACGGATATGTACTTACGTAACTCTTAAACTAGATCTGATTCTGATAATTCTTTCTCTGATGGAAGCTACTTTGCCGCCGAATGGTAAAGATAAATAAAGATAGATTTATTTAGATTTTTGTTTATCATTAGGGACGAACCCGAACTAAGCGAGGGTCAGTCGCTAGTTGTCTAATAAATACGACATAAGATAAAGCAGAGGAAGAGGAATCGTAATTGAAAGTTTTAAACTTTGTGAATTGTTTTTGTCTGAAGAGTGGTCCTGGGTTCGAGGCCGAGCAAAGATTAGTTATTGAGTTTTTCTGTTAAGAAATTCTCATTAATAACCGGGAGGGAGTCTCGCCTCCATATCTCTGAGAGCACGTTAAGCCGTTAAGTTGTAATCCCACCGGAGTATGAGAGTGACAGGAATAGAGAGTGCATTTGCGTTGCGCGGATACATAATATGTATGTACTTAAATATCTCCTGCGCAGGTGACTAGTTTCCGTGAGATTGGCCGTTACCCAACGATTACATTTTTGACAGATTTTTTTTACCTAAGTAAGTTTTTCCACTATACTAATAAACTTACGACGACCATTTCATATAAAAAACTGATAAAAATAACCAACCAGTTACTCTCCGGCTCCAATACTAGATCTGCTCAAAAAACTACATTGACACATCTTTCTGTTGTTGCGTGAAAGAAAAAAAACTGTTCTTATTAGTACTATAAATACTTAGGTATACATAATATTAACAAGGATAAAATTAAACATTGTAATTTGTGATAACGGAAACCGCCGACTGCAATTTTCCAGTACCATCAATGTACATTGTACACATTACATACATACATACATTACATACGTACATTTATACATATGTGTTAATTGAATTGAACTTAAACGAGCGCACTATATATATATATATATATATATATATATATATATATATATATATATATATATATATATATGAACTAACGACTTGCGCTCGCTTCGCTCGGGTGTGCCTCTATGCGCCTAACAGTTGCCTATGAGTTACTCCAGGTGGTATTCTTTTTGTATACTTATTTCATTCAAATCCATCCAGCCGTTTCAGCAACAAACATACAGACAAAAACTTTCGCATTAATAATAATAGCAGTCCGATGAAGCAGTTAAGGATAAATGGTAATTTGTTTTACAGAGCTTAGGATTGTGTACTGCGACGGTAATGTTTGTGCTATCTCAAGATCGTCTAAATATGGATCTGGATCGAGAGTCGCTCGAGCTAATGTTGAATCTACTCGAGTCTGATGTATCACACAAGTGAGTTATTTGTGTCGCACAACAAATGAATCGATATAATATTTCATTGTTCCTTTAAGCAAATACTTGTATCTGAATTGAGATGAGTATGATTATAATTAAAAAAAAATTATGATTTTGCAAGTATGTTAGTACTTTATTACTGTTTCAGAGATATATATATAGTATTAAATGTATCTAACTTTGATCTATTGTATATGAGTGTTTACTAAAGGATTATTAAATGTCATTTTCATTTGTTATATAAAGTATCTTATGTTTTGGTACTTACATTTACATATAACTATAATTTTAAGGTTAATGTGTTTAGATTTTTGATTTAATAAATGCTTACATTGTTGCCCTTCAAATATTGTGTGCCTCCTTAATGACATAAATATATTTTTTTAAACTTGAACTGACGCAAACATTACATATCATAATAAGAATGACACGATTACCATAACAATGTAATGTGGTTGAATTGTTGCTTTGCTTTTTTATTTAATCTTATTTCTTTACTGTTTATTTTAATTTTCTTTTATTTTAAAATAAAAAATCTTATTTTCTTATATTTTTATACAGAAACGCCCTTGATGACTGTGGGTTAACGTCCGCTCAGCTCGCAAAGACACAAGAAAGAGTTAGGGAATTGTGTGCTGAAATCAAAAGTCAAGGGAAAGCTAAACATCTGGACTTGGATAATATAACGGTGAGTTCAAAAATTTATTTTACATATTACTATTCAATTAGGATACATTTTTATTTCTAGGGAAGATTATATTTTAATGGGTGGTTAGAGTGAAATAGCAAAAGGCTGAACCCTTCACATCAAACATCCCTAAATAACTATTTTAACATATTAATATCTCATTAAAACCATTTTATGTATCAGAATAAAAAGAAGACGCCCTTGACGACTGTCAATTATCTCGTTGATCTCATTTCGAACTTGACGTTTCATGTCATTGAGAAAGGAACAAACTACAACATCTTAGTCTCACATATATACATATAATAAAACAGGTTGAATGTCTGTACATAGAATCTTTTTTTTGGTAGAAACCGAGTCAGGGGGATGTAAAAAGAGAAATAGAACAAATCCAGATTTTTTCATTTTTTTTTGTTTCTCTGTCTGTACGGGCTAATTTTCGAAATTGTTGGACCGATTTAAATAAAATTTTGCATGATGGTACCTTATATCCCCGATCAACATTTTAGATACTTCTCATCCCGGAAAATTAAAGAGTTCCCGTGGAATAGTTAAAAAACTATAGTAACTTATACAGCTTAGTACACATCAACTTTTGCAACTAATTTAGTAAAATTGGGCATGCTGATACCTTATATTGCCGGTCAAACAACAGGTTACTTTTTATCCCGGAAAAATAAAAGGTTCCCGTGGGATAGATCTGTTTGTGCTTTTCTAGTTTATAATATTATTAAAAGCCTAGTTTATAATATTATTAAAACTATTTTTATTTAATCTATCTCAATAAAGATAACATAATGTTGAACAGTCAATTTATCATTCCACAGGTGGGCCATTTAGCTATGGAAACACTATTATCGCTGACGTCGAAGCGAGCAGGCGAATGGTTCAAGGAGGAGCTGCGCAACCTGGGCGGCGTGGACCACATCGTGCGCACCATACAGGACTGCGCCGCGCGCCTCGAGCCGCCCGCCGCCGCCTGGACCGGCGCCGAGGTGGACGTGCTCAGGAAGGCGGACCGGTGCATGCGTGTGCTGGAGAATGTAAGCGGTTTACATTTAACTTTAGTTGTTGTTGAAGTTTGTTAGTAAGATGTACACACCTTTTTTTTTGTATTAAAATTGTAGGTACTGAGAGCTAACAGCGGGATATAAAGAGGGTCTTTTGAAATCTTCCTCGACTTTTGACCATCTTTAGGCTCACCTGTTAGATATTTACAAACAAAAATATGTCAATTGATTTTTTATTACTTTATAGTCAACAGCGATCAGTATTTTTAATTCATTGTATACTTAATACTTTCTTAGATTTATGTGAATATTTAACATTTTAAATAAATTCAGTATTTTTCGAATGCTTTACAGCAGAGACTACATTTGTACACCTTTAAAAATATAAAGTCTGATGACTCATTTTAGTAAGCTATGAATCATCACTACAAAAATATCTAGCTTTACAGTAGAACCATTACTCATAGGATTTATAGGATCTCAGTTTAAATATAACTATCTCATCTCAAATGATAACTCAGGTGACCCAACAAAACGAGGCGAACCAGCAGTACCTGGTGTCTGGGTCGCTGGGCGCGGCGCGCACGCTGTGCTCGCTGCTGCGGCGCTGCGCGGCGGAGGCGCGCGCGTCCCCCGCGCCGCACCTGCGCGCCGCGCTGCTGGACGCCGCGCTGCCCGCCGTCAAAGTGCTCGTTAACCTGTCGCATTCGTTCGGTATCGCTTGTGAGTGTTTTGGTTTTTTTTATTTACTATCGATTTACGGGTGCGACACTAGATAGATAGTGAGTTTTTTAGTAAAAAATAGATAAACAAAAATTTTACAAATTATTTTATTCTTATAAGTTCAGTATATTTTTTCCATATGCATTTAGTAAAAAAAACACTTCAATTTTGTTTATTTGTAATTTGTATGGGTTTTTACTATAGGATCAAATGAAATAGATGATGTAGTGGTGTAAGTATATATGCTATAAGCACTAACTGGGCCGAAAGGAGCAACTAACAGACATACTTTTTTAATTTATATTATTAGGGACAATGTAATGGAACGCTGTAACGCTATGATGTCTCGTTTTTTTTATAATTATACTTATTATTTATACAAAAAAGAAAATTTTTGTAATTGTTTTTGTCAAATTATAAGATACTATCAGCTTAATATGAAAAATACTCTCCTATTCTCTAAATTTCACGCGACTTATTATAAATACAGTGATAAATAATATATTTGTAAAATGATATTTATCCAGTTATTAATTACAGCTTGTATGTGCTTTGTTAATTATATATTTGTATATTTTTTACAGCATCTGCACTGGGAGCACAAGTTGTCGGAGAACAGCCTTCAGTGATGGAAATCTGTTTGATAATGCTAAACAACCAAGGAAACTTTATTCCTGATACCAAGAACTTTGATTTTAGTATTTGTGTAAGAATCATTTTTATATAATTTAGTAGAGAGTTTTTATTGTAGTAAATGTTTTTTGCATATTTTACATTTTCTTTAGCTTTTAAGAAAATTTTAGATATTTATTTTATAATTAGCTATAACTAATTTTAACAGTAATATTGGTATAATAAAAGTGAAATCAGAGAAAAATAATAACAAATACAATGTATTTTTATAGCAATTACTTGTAATAATATCTGTACTTAGAAACATGTAGAGAAACAGAAAAACATGAAACTTAAAAATAATCTTATGTATACAACCACTTTATTTTATTGCAGGTTTTAATGCTGTTAATAAATTTGGTACAAAATAATGATATAAATACCCAAAGACTGCTAAGTGTTCGTATTCGAGTGGATAACGAGCACGACATTATATCACGTAGCGTCTCAGCTTTAGATCTTATAGTTGACTTATTTTACAAAAGAGAAGAATTGGCCAGGTAAATTATTTTTCTATTTTATCTTTAAATCCTCAATAATAAAATAATATTACATGCTTATATCTAGCATATAAGTCATATTGTGAGTGTACCAACAATAATCGATCTATAATGTGAAAACTAAATGAGACAACTATTTGGCTCCAAGCTACAATCAATCAATCAGCCTATCACCGTTCACTGCTGAACAAAGGCCTCGACAAGGCCCTATGAGCGCCAACCATCCCGGTCCTGGGCAGCTCGCATCCATCCATGAACAATGATGAAAATACCAACAATAATACATTGAAGTATTTGTTGTGTAACATTAGTAGTGTTGGTTACGCAGAAAACATAAAAGTTTTTAAAGTTTTACTTCATTTGGCACGTTTAGAAAAAAATATGATCGTAAAATTTTTACGATGCGCGCGCACACCGACAGCTAAAAGGCGACATGATGAATATAGCTGCATTCCTTTTACAAACAGAGAGTTGTGACATATGGGATGAAATCTTTAGCTATTTTTTTTCTGTTATGCCAAAGTACAAAAGTACACACACACGTTTTTTGTTTTAATTCTATCTATAAAGGGGCACGTAAAACTTGTATGGTGTAGTATAGTACCGTATATATAGTACCGTAGTTAGCCCTGGCTATTCAAAAGCTAAGTAGGCTCTAGTATTTGAAATAAGACAAAAAAGATTTTTTCTTTTCTTTTTAATTTTATGAAGGTACTGAAAAAAAATATTTAGTTGACAAACTCGAAATTTAATTACAGTATTATATATTTAAAACATTTCATAAGGCGCTTTGTCTAACCCTGCATATTTTTATACAACATAAATATTTTTATTATTTATAAATTATAAGCCACAGTTGTATTTATTATCTGTTTTATTTATTACCTTAATATGTTAATAGGAGAGCAGAAGAAAATACAGATGCTTTATTAGATGGCGAAAAAGAAGAAGAAACAGAAAATGACAAAAAGAAACAATCACAAGATGATATTGATGAAACAGTAACAAAATGTAAGTTTAAACAATAATAACTCTCTTTTTGGGGCATATTAGTGTGACGATTTATCTAACAAAATTAAATGAAATTGAAACACGCATTGTCATGTCAATTATCATATTATATGGCCTGATGCCCCTCGTATTGAAGGGAAGCCCGTGCCCAATAGTGGGATGTCAAAAATGGCCGAATACATACATACAATTAATTCAATCTCTCGTCTGTCAGTGCTGGCGCGCGCGGGCACGCACATGGAGCACACGATGGTGGGCGCGTACATCGCGCTGCTGCTGGGCAACATGGCGGTGGTGTCGCCGCCGCACGCCGCCGCCGTGCGCGCGCGCGTGCCGCTCTACGCGCCGATGCTGCCCACGCTCAAGAAGTACTTCACCTTCCTCTCCCTCACTGCTAGCGTGAGTGTTGCTTTTATATCACTTAAGATTCCCTACCCAAAAGGTAAAAAAGAACCCTATTACTAAGACTCCGCTATTCTTCCGTCTGTCTGTCTGACTGTCCGTCTGTCACCAGGCTGCATCTCATGGACCGTGATAGACACTTGAAATTTTTACAGATGATGTATTTTTGTTGCCGCTATATAACAATAAATACGAAAAAACAGAATGAAATAAATATTTAAGGGGGCTCCCATACAATAAACGTGATTTTTTTTGCTCGTTTTTGCTCGATATTGATAACGGAAACAGGTACACGCTTGAAATATTCACAGAATATTTAGTTATATATTCGCTGTAAAATAAATAAATTAAAATAAAACAAATATTTAAGGAAATAAGGTCCCATATAACAGACATGATTTTTTTGCCGTTTTTATAGATAATGGTACGGAACCCTTCGTGCGCGAGTTTGACTCGCACTTGGCCGGTTTTTTATTACTTCTTAGTTATCTATGAAACAAACAAATAAATAAATATGTTGGGACATTAACACACAGCAACATTTAGTTCGCACGCACGCAGCACGAAGGGTTCTGGGTGCGTGTCACCATAGTCATCATATCTAATAGTTGTGCATCGATAGTGCACTAGTAGTAATAGTGAATCTGAATATAGACTTACATATTATAACAATAAAAAATCTCCTAAGGGGGCTATAATAAATTATTTTTAAAGTGATCTTGAAATCGTATCTTCTGATACATAAAATCTTATTAAACAAAAGCAAAACATTGTCATATATGTTTGTATCAATCGTGATATTAGAATTAATATAATGCTTTATTTTTAAAGTAATATGTTTTACCAAAATTATTAAAAAAAAACGAAAGGTTTTAGTTTAGGTAGGTTTAGGTTTGGTTATTAGGTTTCATTTATTTCTCAATAGAATACAATTCACTTAATGAGAAATATTAGTTTTACGTAGGTAACATTGTAAACGGGCAGCTAATACTTATATGACATATCTTACTGTAAAGTTAAGTAATTTTATTCATTAATTTATTTCAATCATCAATAACTATTATAATGTATTATATTAATTTATTTCAATCAATAACTATTATAGGGCGAAGCAGCGATAGTAGCACACGTGAAAACAACGCAAAGGATAATACAGTTCATGGAGACTAGCGATAAGGAAAACTCGCAGCCGGAGCCGTCGCAGCCCGCCGCGCCATACACCGCCGTATACCCCTACTACGAAACATCACCATCAGACGTGCCACAAGACATGTCTCTTAGTAATCTCAACTACTCCATGAACTATATGAATAGCACCTCGAGCTCGGACAGAATGTCCTCCATGGAAATCGATGGTTACCACTGAAATTCGAGTAACTTTTTAGTTCCGTTATATTAGTATTAAAAATGAAACGGATATTCGGCAACTATCCGATATCTGCTCATTTTGCCGGATACCGGATTGTAACGCAATATCCGATCGGATGCTGAGGCAAACAATACAAAACAGCAATAATTAACAATTTACTTTTATTAATCACTAAGTCACGCGAATACGCCCGAATTCTTCCGATAACGTATGCACTTTTCGCAAAATGTAACGTGAAAACAATGAGATTTCCGGTATCCGGCCAAACAAATATCCGTTTCATAACCAATTACAATCCCTCTTCGTTTTATATCCTCTACAATCGAAACTCGCACTTAATTCAGCAGAATAAAACTCGATTGATTTTGTGAATATACAAATGCATGAATTATTTGCGCTCTTACAAAGTATTAAATTATATGACCATATGGATATTAAGAAAAGACAAAATTCCTTATATTAAACAATAACTTGAATTATCCATTTTTATTTCTTGACTATGGAATATTAGGTAAGCATTGAAAGTAATATAAATTCATTTAATACAATTTTTGATAATAGCATTGCTAACGTGGAATCGTTTATTTTGTTTACTTATGATGCTATTTTCTATTGTTCGAATACAATTTTACTAAAATTTCAACTGATTATTAGTTCCACTGTGATTTGTAACTTTTCCTTACAAAGGGATACTTGTAAAACATATTCTAAATATCCAACAACATTTTAGTATGTTTAACTGTTATGTTGTTTCTTTAAAGTTAACATGTCGGCAAGCGAAGTCGCATGCTTATATTCCCATTACATATAATACAATATCTTTTTCTATACACTTTATAATTCTGACGTTACACCAACCAAAAAAAAGGAATTATAGTAACTGCTATATTCCTTATCTTTATTATTTTAAGTAAATATTAAATGTGTGATTGAAACTGGCGAGTCTGAGTTAAATAACTTGTAAATATATAATTCCGATTGTAATAAACATTGCCATTTGTAAAAAATCGATTATATGTCAAGTATGCGTTCTCGGTTTATACCTTACCAATCTCTGTAAATCTCTTTGAAACATTGTAAATATAGTTGTAATGGGTTATTGAAATCTTAATTAAATTGAGATGTTTCCGAGTTTAAGCCACTGAACTGGCAATATGAAAGTGCAAAGCTAGCGTAAGTGTAATATAGATATTCTGTTATGTGAATATTGTGTCGCACTTTGTATTATAGTGACGAATCGAGTTCTTGAGGCACAATTTTTATTGTAAATAAATTATTAGCTAGTTAATAGAATCGATTGAATAGGGTTATTTGTATGCGATTGAGATTCTAAAGATCGTTGCTCGCTTTCGAAGGGTTCGCTCTTCGCGATGTACAAACACTAACTATGTTAGTTCGCTATACACTTTCCGTAGAATAAACGCGTATCTCACATATGTAGGCACGTTGGATTTGTCATTGATCTTATTCGATTTTATTACTTTGAATAATTCTTCGATTAAAAACGATTAACATCTTTGCCTAAAATGAGCCTTTTGAGATACGTATTTATTTCAGGGAAAGTAAGTGAGAGATGATTTATGCTTACTTTAATAAATAGGACAATCTATCATGTTGGACTTTTAATAGCAATAGCTTAAGCATGTTCCCTTGATTTTTATTAATTTTCATCTCACACATTACATTTGAATCTTCGTTTTCTCGAAACTTCTCTATTGTATTATGAAAATTTCGAACAAATTTTACTGGTCACACGATGACGTTTACGTATAGATTTATATTTTGAAGTAGTTATGAAAGTAGAATGGAAGATAGTATTTTATATGACGCTAGAATTGATTAGATATTCAATTAAAAATAGGTAGAGAAATTCAAGAGTAAAGAAAGCTTCATCGAATCAATAGTACCGTAGCTTTGTCTTACTTTGTGCTCAATGAAAGTTATTTTCAAATATAGTTATTATTATATATAGTATATTGTTATTGACAGCTTCTTAGCTCATAGTACAGATACAGGCAGTTCTACTTAAGTATGTTTTTGTGTTTTGCTTTTTCTTATTGATATTGTCAGTGTCTGCGGATATTTATAAGGAATAATGTCAAAGTAAATGATGACAAGTGAATTAATTGCATTATTAATTTTAAGTATTCGTGAAAGTTGAAAAGTTTATATTTGTTAGAATATTATTAATAAAAAAAACGGGATATATATGACGCCAAACTTTTATTTATTGACAGCGCGATACGTGCGCATGAGAATTTAAATAGAATTTCTAAATTGAATATTTTGTTGTGTATCTTTTTCATTTAATCCACAATATATTAATAATACAACATAATTAAAAAAAACTGCTTCTAAAAATAAATTAATCAAATTTGCTCATTGATCAAAAAAGTACTAGATACACAATCCTACGCAGAAGTTCTCTTAACAATTATCCAATTGCGTTTAGGTGTATTGTAGTTGAAATAAATATACAACAATGTAAATAGAGCCTGCAATACAATGCTTAAGTTGTTTTCACAAAAAAAAAAAATTAAAAGCGCGCTCAAATGTTCACTCATTCGGTGAGGTCATTTTTTGTCGCTGATTGTGTATCTAGTATTTTTTTGATCGAAGGATTTGCTTCGAATTTATGAAGAGAATAATGCAGAACATCTTATCGTGCCTTCATTTTAAAAGCAATTAATGATCGATTGGTATTTCTTTCAACTATATATACGGTCAAATTATATAGGGATAAATCGATATTGGATGTTATGGTTATAGTAATGGCATCTGTCTACTAGTTTAAGAGGATCTATTTCGAAAATATAAATTGTCGTGATAGAAAAACCATACACGCACACCAGAAAGATATGTTGAAATATTGATTTGTTACTTGCGATTTACCTAAAAATAAATATGATTAAAAATACATTCATATATTGTAAATATCTATGTAGATAATACAATAATCAAATATAGATAAATAAAATTTGTGTCGATCCGAGCTAAGCCCAGTATTCAGAACAGGACAGAGCAATTGACAATTTCAACGATAGTGTTACATTTTTATTCTCGCTTAGCTCAGGGGCGTCCCTAGGTACGTTTTAATTTTTTTGAGCAGAACCCTAATTCTTTTCCTAAAGTAAAGTAGCCTAAGTTACTCCTTATAACATCAGCTATCTAACAGTCCATGTACCAGTGAAGGTGCCGTCAATTTCAGGCCAGCCGTTTCGGAGATTTGCCGGGACAAACAGACAGATGGACAAACATTTTTTAAAATTGTGTTTTTTTTACAAGTACCTTACATACTTTATTATGTATTTAGTAAGTTATCTTGACATTACAAACAGACACTTCAATTTTATTTATCTATATAGATGACATCTTCAAATGTTTATTATGATAAGGGTGTTTCAATACTAAATAAACTTATAGACTTCAAAAAAAGGAAAAGGTTCTCAATTTGGTTGTATTTTTTAACAATTCCTGTAATGTTAACGGTGTAGTGACAGATGGCATTATATAAAGAAATAAAGAATACTTTAGCATATAGAATGTGTAGAAGGAGGGCATTTGAGCGAATAGTTTGTGTGTACTCTTCAATTTTCTTATAAATATACCGTCATGTTTAATATAATAAAAATAACTACAACATTATTTTCTTAGCAATATTCAAAGTTTTATAATATTTACTGTATTTTTGTAAAATTGTTTTCTACAAAAGTCGCTTCAAATGGAAACGCCTAGTTGGAATTCAATTTGATTTTAAAATGTACCTCTTTCTATACATTCCATATTATTAGGCAAGGCAAGAGCCTTTTGGTAAAATTGAAAGTGGCTAGTATATCTGTGAGCTGGTCTTTAACACAAAAAACGTGTGTGTGTACTTATGTACGTACGTAAGAAGTTATACTTCTTTGGCGTAACAGAACCAAAATAGCTAAAGATTTCGTCCCGTATGTCACAACTCTGTTTGTAAAAGGAATGCAGCTAACTTCACTATGTCGCTTTTTGGCTGTCGGTGCGCACCGTAAAAAATTTTACTGCCATATTTTTTTTACAAACGTGCCACAAGAAGTATAAGTTCAAAAAAAAGTATAATGAATATTTTTCATGTGACTTCAATCTTGACTGATGAGTCAAGATTGAGATGAGAGAATATAATATATATATATATATATATATATATATATATATATATATATATATATATATATATATATATTTCTTGGTTGTTGGTGATTAGGTATTTTAAACCTTTAACAATATATTAGTTTAATTTTTTTAAGAATAATATTCTAAATATAGTGGTGTCGTTACGGATTTCTAATATATTTTTGTTTAAGTATGAAAGTTTTCACTTGAGTAAGAAACGACATTTTGTGACAGCTTTACTTAGTTTTTAAGAATTATTTAGCTTATAGTTTGATTTTAGTGGGATTTTAGTACCAACTTATTTTTCAATATTTTTAACTAAACCTTAGGACTTATATAGACTGGGTTATTTTTTTTCTTGTACAGTTGTAATGATTCTTTGCCTAAATTATATTTACGTAATTTATTGACTTTAGATGTACGACTTAAGCTTAGCTCCACGCATTTCGTTGTCGGTTTTCATATATATCACACTTGTGTTTTAATACTTTTATTGTATGTTGTTTTAGATAATCAGGAGAGTTCCATATTTGAAATTATTATTGTAAATGTAATGTGTAATTATGTTAAAGTATTACATGTAATTATATTAAAAGAAGGACGATTTAAACATTGTATCTCTTGACTGTCCTTTACCCCGCGACTGATTAATAATAAACAATATTTTTTTATCTATTATATATTTATATTTTGTGAAAATATTATTTCTAGTGTTGTGGCAACAATGTATCTTCATATTCCACTTATTTTATTAAAACTCGATGCAATAAATGTTTCAAAGGCATCAGCTAAATTGTTTTTCTATTACATTAGATATGTTTACACTATTATCTATCTGTTTCAGTGTTTAATAATATTTATTAATAATTTCAAAGCATTTAATATAGTTGATATACCCTGAAGAGATCTATGATAACATATTTTTTTTAAATTTTAAACAATAAATGCCACACAAACATGAGTTCTAAGAAATAAATTTTATAAAACATATATTAAATTATAACATGATTTTTTATACAAATCTGATAAAATTATATCTAAATTCATATTCGGTCGACTGCTTCGGCACGAGAAATAGCAGGAGCGCGAATGTTTGACCAATCACCACTTTCCGTAAACCTTTTATTAACGGTTAAAAGTTGTTCAAAATTGGCTTTAGCAATTTTGTGTTTGTTTCGTACTTTCTGCACCAGTTCCTCGTCGTACACTTCTTCAGGATTATCCAGTTTTAAATGAGCTTTCATTTCTTGTAATGTAATTAAGAAACAGTTCCATGGCGACCAATCTTCTTTGACATGCCATCGACACAGCCTAAGTTCCGTCATATCACAACATTCGCTAATGGCTGAGTGTGAATGCCAAAGCTTTTCTACAATAAAAAATATATCTTTCTCTTGAAGAACAAACGCTAAAGATCCCCAACATTTACGACGTCTTTCGTCGCGCTGTACAGCCCTCAATATAAACTTATATGGTGTCATATCTATCCAGCATCGTTCTGAAACATCCTTCCAAGAACAAGAAGTGCACACTAAGAAACCACTCATTTTAGCATTCAAAGGAAAATCTGTGTTCAACTTGACTTGATGGCACATTTCACAAAACTGTAGCCTATCGTTTTCCATTTTTCTATAATCTCTGATATCTTTACATTTCGTTACTCCTGAATTCAATTCAGAAGTTTTTATTAATTGGAATACGCAGGCTGATGTGCGTCGTCTTAGAAATTCAAGTTGATAGTCATTACATTTCCTAACGAGTAGATCGCACTCGCGGTCTAGCAAAGTAATAATTTCTTCGGCCAAGGGGTGGCGGAACTCTTGTAAAGCAAATTTCATATTGACAAGTAGTTCGATTCGTTCTTTTCCATCGATATCTTCTCTTATGAAGGAGTTGTACAATTCTTTCAATTTTCTTGCCTTTTGAATTTCAACTGTTTCCATTGTTATCACTTTTCCATCGCGTCCATACCATGCAATAGGTTTCGAAATTTCCTCCAAGAATTGTTTTTCTTTAATTTTTTTGCTATCTTCTTTTACTTTTACCCTATAACTTTCGATACAACGCAGGAGCTCTACTTCTTTATCTAATAAAAGTGTAAACTCGGCTATCTTCGGCCCTTTAGAATGGAGTTGCGATATTCTAGCTATTTCAGCATGTTTCCAACGGTCCACCTGAGGATAGTAAGTTCATTTAAGTGAATTGATTAATAAGGATTTACAGTAGTCAATGAGTTGTAACATTTAAACAAATATTGCTAATTGCAGGTTATTCATAGTAGCGTTTTACTAAATGTAGTTGCGTAGCGGGCTTGGTGATTAGACACTATTGTATATCTATAATTTTCTTAATCAGATTTGAAACACGATCCTAAACCTAGCTGCCTATTTTGTCGTGGCTAACAAGATGAGTGTTAAAAATCAAATGTCATTAATAACAACAGAAGAAAATATAAAATTTCAGGCTCATAAAAAGATAATATAATATGTTATCTCATTCATTCAATATTCACTCTATTATAACAAAATGTTACCATTGCGTATAGTTGATCGAAATCTTCGCGTGTTTTTGGAAACGTTTTTGTAATAAGATCTCGCCGCGATCTTCTTTCTTTAGCTTCACGCTCTAATCTTTTTTCTTCCTCCATTCTAGCGATTCTTTCCCTGTACAGTAAAGATTATAAATTTAAATATTTATATTTATGATTAGCGACTCACTCTCGCTTCGCTCGAGTTCGTCCCTAGGTACGTTTTAATTTTTTTGAGCGGAACCCTAATTCTTTTTCTAAAATAAAAGTAGCCTATGTTACTCCCTATAACATCAGCTATCTTCCAGTGAAAGTCCCGTCAAAATCAGTCCAGGCGTTTCAGAAATTATCCGGAACAAACAGACAGACAAAAATTTAAAAAAAATGTGTTTTTATAAGTACCGTATATAATTTCATATGCATTTAGTAAAACGCTGTTATCTTGACATTACAAACAAGCACTTTAATTTTATTTATCTGTATGTATGTATAAAATAATAAAATGGACTGAAATTATACGCACTTCAATGTTACTTTACTACCTTCGATATGGTAGATATGCACAATAGCGTTACTCAAATGGATGCCTCAAAAGTTACGACGATTATCGAAAACCCATACCTATAGTAAAGTAAATATGTATGTCGATTAAACTATACCGACAGACAATTTTTAACAAAAATAATTTAAAGGCTGTTGGTATTCGTCCGATAATCGGATTAATAAGAAATAATTATTCGCCTGACTATTGTCTGTTTGTACCAATATCCACCAATTTATTGTTTTTTAATATGAAATAAGTGATTTTTAGGTGCTGAAGTTTCTATATGCAAAAAAAACTTTAGCCTAACGAACTGAACCTTATTCTTTTAGATCCCAACGATTTTTAAGTTCAAGAGTTTTTATGTGTAAAAAACAGAAAGTAGGAAAATATAAGGTACTGTCTCATAATAAAAAAAAAGATAATTCTAACCAATCGGGGGATAAAGGGTTTTAATTTATGTCTCATCCGAAACTTAAAGTTTTATGTATCGATGGGTATAGTGTGACAAATAATATATTATTCATCCAATTATCGGACACCGTAGTTTAAAACCGTTCAAGCGATATTAACAAGTAGGTTATTTAATTTGCAGATGTTTTTAAATTGCACAATACATTAATTTATTAGCATTAAGCTAATCTGATAATTGAGGAAGTTCATTAATTTGTGTACTTAGCTATAATACGCAGGCAACAAAGTATTGGACGTAAACCACAATATTTTGTACGTTTTAGTACGTTAGTGACAAAATCACGCTTTTAAACTATAATTTATTTAATAGTGAAGTAAATTGGGAAGAAAGGGATTTTTTTGTTATTTAAAATATTCTTACGTGCATTCTTTAAGCCATCTTTCCACTTTTTGTCTGAATTGATGATGCCTGAAAGCTCTCTGTATTACAGCAGCGTAGTGATTATGATTTAATCTTGCAATCATTTCATCATATGTCTCATAAGGTTGAGGAACTATAATCTTGTCGGTGACATTTGGAATATACGCATTAACGCTGTTCATTTGTGTAGCACGACTGTAATTGGTATCCTAAAAATATATAAAACACTTGATTTGTTTTTGGTTTAGTACTAAACTTCTGATACCACGATTTGTTAGAGACACGGCGCACCACTTCAATTTATTTACCTCGTGCGGGAATAGAATCGGTAACAAACGCCACTAAGAACAACGGTCGTCATTTGAATACTTTTGTTCTATCTTTAGTATGTTATGTTTAATAGCTTTAGAGTTGATATATAACAATAATGGTTTATTATTTATGATGCAGGAATTTAAAAAGTCGCGACGTGTCACTTACTTCTTATATTTACATTGAAAAAGTATGTATATTGGTAACATTACCATATAAAGTATATTATATTTAAAGCCGTTAGATACTAACAGATATTTGCTTCAGTAGCAGCTAAAAATTGTACCAGACGATCGTTTTATTAAATCTTTCTATAGTAGTTGAAAATGTTATAGGAATAATATTATAATTAAAATTCTGCTTACGTTTATTTTTTCTCGCATTTCTGCGGTTTGCGTATCGCGACAGTTTTTATTTTCTGGAGGTACCTTTTCAGGTTTTTGCGGTGTTTGAGTGTAGGCATGGTGGTAGGTCGCACCTAGGATAAAGTAAATTTGTTAATTTAATTTCCTTTTTGAATAAATGTTTTAGGTACAAAATATTGCTACTACTTGGTAAGTACTTACCTATTAGATAATATAACATTTGAATTGGTTTTCTTGTTATTGTTCTATTAACAAAATATGTTACTTAACTGGATTTAGGTTTTCTTACATCTATTTTTATGTTTGCATAAGACTTTTTATCGAGACATTTATATATTTTACTCTACCACTTACATGTGTAAGACATGTGCCCTTTTTTGCCTAACTGCGGTGAAATCCAAAGGAGGGTCATTTTTTGACCTGTATGTCAGTTCGATTCTATGTTCCGTCGTAATTACCAAACGGCTTAACCGATTTTGATGATCCTTACGTCATTAGGTTTGTCTTGATAACGTGAGTGCTATATTAATATTATTAGAGTCGTTCAGAGATATAAATAAAAATCAGAATGGCGGATATTGAAGATTTTTAAAAAGTTGTTTAATAAGTACTTGCTGCGGATCTTGTTACATATACATACATATGGGACCGACTCCATAATAAAATATATTCATTTGTCAACTTCTTTTCATCTCTTTAATTCTTAGCTAGTACCTATTACGCAGTCAGTTTTATTATTTTTATAATTTATTTTTTTCACCTCCAGGTAAATTTCTAAGTAATTAATCAAATTTCTAATAAATCTCGTGTTAATTGTAATAGTAGGGGAGCCCAAGAGGGGATTTTCTGTAGTTACTCGAGCGCGGCAGATTAACATAAAAGAGGTTACCTTGCACTCTATTGAGTACTTAAATCGACTATAAAGTTTATGATGATTTTTGCCTCTTAGGCTTGTGCAAATCGGCAGATTATTAAATTGGACACTTTTAAGGATGTGACTAGCCTACCACACCTTAATCTGACGGTTTCAAGTATTTCTACCTTATCAAAACATTTTTTAAATATTTTAATCGGCTTCCCTAGACGCGCCCCTTTATATAGAAGACTTATATTATGGTGAAAGTACTCAATAGAGTGCAAGGTAACCTCTTTTATGTTAATCTGCCGCGCTCGAGTAACTACAGAAAATCCCCTCTTGGGCTCCCCTACTATAACGCCGGCGTGTCCGCGGTCGTGGAGGGATTAAAGTCATATTTCAACAATACTGCAGTAGGTAGTAAGAACGTCATTTAGATTTTAAATAAATGATCAAAACTAACCTGTATGTACATTTCTGTAACCACCCAAAAAAGGTTTCCTCATAGGTTCAGAAAATATTTCAACATTAATATGCTTTAAAGTACTTCCGAATGGTACCATAACCGTTAAAACATCATTTATTGGCATTTCTTTGTATAACTTTTCCAAATTAAGCTTTACATTATCTTTAGTCAGTAATTCAACTTCAACTATTCCATATTTATCGTAATCGAGATCCAATAAAGCCATTCGGTCCTTCAAAGGCTTTTCCTCTCGTAATAATACTAAGTTGTCTGGGTCGACTTGAAAAACACCAGCCAAGTTTTTCTTCACTTCGTGTATTTTCATAATTGAATGGTATGATCGAGTGAAAATTCCGTTTTGATTACGTATTCTAAATTTAATAGCTATAAAAGGCATAGATTTTTTCTTAGGCATCATAGTTTGTATAAGTTCATGAACATATAATTCTTTAGGTATTGAAGACAATGAAAAATCTTCAGAATCTTTTGTGAATACGTCTATCATAAGGTTACCAAGTGCATCAGTCTTCAAGTCGGATAAGAGACCGGTATCCTTTAAGACATTTCTATTTTTGGCCAATACAAGATTGTTATTTGACACAGATAATAACTTTGCTAATTTACGTTTAACTAGTTTTATTGGGGTATTGGATGGGAAGACTTTGTTGAACACTTCATTTGGGTGAAGAGGCGATTTGAAATTAACAGGTATATGGCTCACTGGACATTTATATTGTTCTAAATCTCTGGTACATGGTGCTGTTTGTAAACGGGACTTCGCTTCGTCATCTAAAGAAGCAGTTGCACGCTTGTAGGGTGGTGCTGTCAACAGTTTCTCACGACCTAGTTCGCATTGACACGCCACAGCTCCCTTTACACAATCAGGATTTGGAGCAATTCCTATTGTTCGCTGTGATTCCATTTTTGGCTATTATAAAAATTTAACTAAATTATAAAAATACTAGTATTAAGATTAAAAGAGGCGATGACACAAAAAAGTATAGAACAGGTACTACAAAATTCATGCTAATTACTGACATCCACTAATGGGATGTTTATTTTGCTAAGATACCGTTGCTAAGAGCTAAAGGAATAGACAATTTTTTATTTATGTACGCAAATAAAGTAAATACTTCGTTTTAATCATCTTAAAATTTAAATATTATTATGCCAAACTAAAAGACAATAGCTAGAAAAAAAGTAATCATTTATATTTAGAGTTGCCTTCTTTGTTTTGTTCTTAGAAAATGCTGCTCTAATTTTCATCATGTTTACATATCTATACATATCATAAAATAGAAAGAAAGTAGTGAACATGAAATATTTTTTAAAAAGAATGACGAATTGCCTGCCTTTTTAGGTAAATAATGAACGGATTTACCTAAATAATTTGTGTAGTATATAGTAGTACTAGCATCAATATTGAGCATACTTTTTACTACGGGAACATCACTCATTCCAACGGAAAAAGACAATAACTGGTTCGTATTTATTATATGAATTATCCTTCATACTAAACTTTTAGTGATTTATTAGTTACTAGCATTGGCCGCCCGCCCGCCGCGTTCAGATAACAAAAACCAAATTCTTAGGTTTTACATATTAGTATACTCTTACATTGCAGTTTTTGTATTTTTTCTCAGAAATGAGACATTTTCTCGCGGTAAAAAGTATCTTATATGTTGACCCGGATAACCAGCTATCATTATACCGAATTTCATCAAAATCTGTCCAGTGGTTTCTCGTGATGCGGTAACAGACAGGCAAAAATTCTTAAAACTATAGATTCGGCCTCTGTATCCATAATAATGTCTATTTCAATAAGATTTTTCAAAAAATATTTAATGTACAGATTCGGCTTAGTTACGATTTTATTATATGTATAGATTAATAAATTCTTTTTTTGGAAACAATTTAGGTATTTATTTATTATGTATTAAGTAAGAACAAATATTTCTTAACATTCAATGAATATTTGTTAACTATTAATAAATATTAATAGTAAATATATTATTTTGGAGTGAATATTATTATTTTTCATATACGGTGCGATAGGAAGATCATTCATAAAAAATAATGCCACGACCTCGTTTTGTATGATGTTAATTTTCACTGAAAAAAAATCTATATAACTTATTACGACCATTGTTTTATTATTAATTCTATTTTCTCCACATTTTAAAAAATGTCATGTGAGATTAGGGGAGGGGGGAGGGGGTCCAGAAAAATTTCACGAAATCTTACCAATGGGCGAGGGGGGCTCGAAAAATCGAAAAAATTGTCGTACGTACTCGTACTTAATGGATGCCCCCTAAAGCTCTAAGTCTTATGAATCCGGAGATACTATAACTATTTTCATTGTAACTACGTCAAAACTACTACTAAGTAAGTACTAAGACAAAACTTCAAATATATCGAAATCAACTTTGACCAAGTTTGCAGCCTTCTTTTTTATGACGGCAGTAATATTGAAGACACCAAAGAGAGTTGAGTTTGACTGGTAATTTTGAAATTTAGAAGTTTTAACGTGGAATTAAAAGTATGAATGTATAGAAATGATTGGTCTACAGGAACAACCTACAACAACAAAAAGATATTTACTCGATAAAAAATAGCACAGTAATTGAAAATAAAAATACATAAACAATGAGAACTATATTATAATTTAATTTTATTAGATAATAAAATTGTAGATACAATAAAAACTATTTTTTTTAATTAAATTTGCTAAACACAAGGCCTAATAATAAACATTTGAGTATTAACTGGGCGACGAATTTGTGGTGGGATTATATCATGTAGGGAATAAAACAATAATTAAATTTAGCCCGTTCCGGGATTCGAAGCTAGAACTTTTGAATCCACAGCCAGCCGTACATGTTAGCCACTAGCCCATATAGGCAATTTAAATGCTATAGGTATGACGCATGAGTATGGGTAGGTACTAGGTACCTACATAACCATAATTTTACTTGCTGAAACTTTGCGATAAAAATCAAAGAGCAGTCTAGACCACATTACAAAGAAAATTTCATGTAAGACAATGGGAAAAAAATGTACACAACCTTACAAATTACTTAGCCAATTGCTGTTTGTACGTAATTATCTAGTAGTGATCATAAAGGAGAAGCACACGGAACGCCTCGGGGCTTAGTATGAAATTATAATAGACAGTGAAAGCAAAGTACTCTATAAAGAAAGAATTAACTGGTAAGCTTTAAAAACTGTAAACTCCTTTGTACATTTTTAAAAGGATCCAGTGATTCAAGAAAAACAACTCTTTAGCAATCTGTATATTATTATTTTCTAATTTTATTTAAGCTTCGCAGATGAAAAGGTGAAACGTATAACTGTTAGCATTTAGATTAAAATGTTAAATACCTGCATGCTTTGTTGTTTTCTCATATCACTTATTCTCGTATTTTTCTATATACGAGTAGGTATATATGGATGTAATATTATAATTACGTAGGTATATCTTATTAAAAAGTGGTCAAGTACTTTAGACCTGTATTCAAATGGCACTCCTAGAAACTATTAAACATAAAAAGTGAATTGAAATATTCAATATAAATAGTTACGAACCATCTTTATTAAACAAGCTTTGAAAAAAAAGAAAATAATTAACAGACTACCCATCGCTTTGGGAGATACCGAGCCACAGATAGATTTTTCGTTTTCCATTGGTAGTTAAAAAGTAAGTGTGTTTTATCTTAACAAATGTAATGTCTTATCGTTCTGTAGAAGCTGATCACAAACGAACCAATTTAAATGCAGTCCTTTATTACTAGTGCTTACAAGAAAGTACTTAGCATCGTTCTATTGATTTTTTAATTAAAACTTAATTTTTTGGGTTCTAAAGATCACCGACTTCGAAAATATTTGATTAGGTATGTATAGTAAATGAAAACTACCAATCAGTTATTCTTTACTTTTTAGTGCTTTTGTTTGAAGTCGGTTTTTATTTTTTTGTTAAAAAGTTTTTATTTTTCCCTTTTTAGTGTAGACAGTAGTAGCAAAGTAAGAATTCTAACGTGTTAGGCTAGTCAAATCAAACAAAATAAGCCCAAACTCAAAGTATCTACTATTAGTCTTTGAAGAGTTCCACCTATCCACCTTCTGGCTTTACCATCAGATCAGGTCAACAATACCGAACCACTGTACTATCAACGGAAATGGAAACATTTGCAAAGTTTCAAGTCAATATGATAATTAGAAGTAGGTTAAATTCATCATTAGCTATTTTTCCACCCTTAGGGGTGGTATTTTTTTTTAATTTAAATGGGACCAATCTGGAAGTATACACTTTCAAACAACACAAAAATTGTCCAAATCGGTTAATAAATGACGGAGTTCTGAGGTAACAAACATAAAAAAAAATACAGTCGAATTGAGAACCTCCTCCTTTTTGAAGTCGGTTGAATATATTTATGATCAGAATTACTTGAAACTTGGTATTATTAATGCTCTTCAATAAAATTACATAAATACTACTTTTTCGAAATTCATCCTATAAGGGTATAAAATAGGGGATGAAAGTTTGTATGAAACTACCTTTTTAGATACTTTTTTTAGTTTTAGCGCGAGCGTAGCCGCGGGTTCTGCTAGTATAATATAAGGAAGGAACTTATAGGTAGTTGATAGTTAATAAAAATTGAGAAAACAATAAAATTACAGCGTAATAAAAGAGCGAATGTTCCAAGCATAGCTGGCGTCATATTAAATTCCTCCGAAAACATAAAAATGATTTTCGATCGTAAAACTATAATTTACAGACGTAAAATGTGCTGACATATACCTAACGTGCAGAGGAAGTACTAATCAATTCCAGTGGAGTATTTCCTTAATGTAAACTCTACGAAAATTTGCTTGATTGCGAATATAGACAGGTAATGGGTGGAAACAGTTCAACGTAGCATACTACACGTGAGGTAGGTATCTACATACATGAGAATAGGGAGATTTACACCTTAAGTACTAAGTGATTTACTTGCCTTTAGCTTCACAAAAGCTTTACGGGATACCTATTTATTAATACTTGGTATTTAGCGTTATATAAACATAATAGTGCCAACCAGTATTGCTCTGATAACTAATTTAATTAGTTGATAATTATTACGTAAGTACAATAAAGAAGCTGATAAAAACTAGGATTAGTTAAAGTTATACGACGCAAGTACCTAAATATAAAAATATAAACTCATATAAAATTTACACAAATATTAATATATTAGTTATGTGGAGTGCTTTGCGGGTAGTATTTGTCTAAATATCCAAGCAAGGCAATGATAGAGACTTTCAAGGCTCAAGCGAAGTTCATATTATTGCATTTAAACGGGGAGGACGTGCGTAAAGTAAACACGTATTTTAATCAAGCCTGTTGCTTCACTTCCGTTTACCGCGGCCACTGCTCGCTTAGCAAAGAAAAACTTTGCATGTGTTTTATTACGACGGATGCGGATTTGCCGCAAGGCTTAATTTTGAAGCCGACATGGCTCGTTCTAATTGTTGTGTCTCCTGTTGGTCAATGTTCAAAAAAACGCTCAGCTCTGTTTCTTTTTCATTTCGGTTGTCGATAAAAAAAATATAATCGTTATTTATATATAATATAAAAATAATTGAAAAAATGTATGTACTTTTGAAATAGCTAACCTCATATTAAGCTCATTTTAGGTTATTTGTTTGCTACCAAAGCACACACTATAATTTTTTTTACCGCCAATATATTTGAAAGGATTAATCGATTTATGTATTCTGGCAAAAGTAATAAATAGATTAATTTTATTGTCATAGTAGAGACTCGCCCTCGCTTAGCTCAGGTTCATCTCTAGGTTCCTACGTTTAACGGTTAGTATGGAATAGATAGACTATGTTAAAAGAAATTTTTCAAATCATATTAGTAATTACCGGTATTATACGCGT